CAGTATAATGAACGATTTTTCGTTGAATTTTGTTAGATTAATATAATTGAGAAAGAAATTCCAAACTTTTCATCCATTGAAATACATTAATGATTGAGTTACAAAAAAACCTTTTTTTTTGAAAAATTAATCGATAAGATGGAAAGATCTAATTGTGAAAGATTTAGCTGTATACTCATTTATAATATCACGGCTACTATAACGTGTTCATCACGTGTTTACCTGTTTAGATGTAATTATACCATTTTAATGATTGCTCTATCTCTATTTCTATTTTATTTATTTTTAGAATCACATGATGCTATGGAAGATTGTTTGTGATGGTAGTATTTTGTCATCACCTATGCTTGTTGATACAATTGTATTATGTGCTACTTTGCGAGGAGAATTTCTGAGCGTTGAATTGGTAATTTTTAATAAATTTTTTTTTCTTTTTTTATAGATTCTCTTATTCTGTTTAATTTGAGAAATGATTTCATATAATAAGTTAACTTATTCTTTTAGTATTTTCATGTGTTTTCACTCATAATCTGATAGTACAAATTCTTTAAAAAAAATAATTTACTTAAGAAAAAAAAATTACTTATGATTATAATAACTAAACTACTAGTTTTTTGATATGTTATACCCAGAAAATTTGAAAGTTTCCAATGCTAATGCTGAGGAATCATTGATTGGATGAAAGATTGTCTTTAGTTAAACTCTTTAAGTGTTAAATTACGGTGTCAGAATTACTTTAAATTACTATAATTCAGAGTTTTATTTTTCAGATTTGAAAAGTAATTGTAAAGAAAATTATTGGGTTTTATTAAAAAGTCCTTTACCTTAAAAATAACTTGAATTTTTCTATCTTTTAATTCTATCAGTTTCAATCGCATAAATTTATTTGTTATATAAATAGCCTGCATCGGATAACTTGCAAAATTCATTTTAAGACTTTAAATTAATCATTAATTCGTTTTTTTTTCGGGAATACTGAAGAACTTTTTACACTACAAAAATTTTGTTGAAATGGTGATCCTTCTTAAGAAAAATTTATTTTAGTGTCTATTTTTCTCAAATAACTTCATGAAATAAGCGAAAACACTTTGATTTATGTATAATATGACGATTATAGGAAAAGATATTATTTTAGCGTGATAATTAGACTTTTTCAATTAATGAAAAAGAATTTTTAGGATAACTTCATTTGCCACACATACTTTTGAACTGATAAAAATGTAAAATAAATGTGAAAATTGATAATTTAATGGAAAAAATTACTAGTTTTTTATCGCATGTATTTTAAGTGCCAATGTTTTGCAACATATATTAGTCTAAGTCTAATAATTATTGTATTGATATATGAAATATCGATGAAATTGTAATGAATAATCTTTTTGAGTGAGCAATTTTCTAATTTCAGGAAACTGGCACCATCTTATGGAAAATTCAACTAGCTGCACCTATATTTGCAAATTTATGCATGATAGAAGAACATAATCGTATTCTGGTTGCGAATGTTAAAGGTCTTATAACATTGTGCGACGCAACAAACGGACGTATAGTACGTGTTTTTTTTTTTTTTTTAATAAATTCAATAAATAAAACTTTACTTAAATATGGCATATCTTTTTGTATTTTTCATTTACTTCAATATTAATTTTCATATATGCCTATTGTTCCATAGCATATGAAATATCTAAACATATCTGTCTAGAAACTGATAGTTTATTAGTAAGTTTTTATTCTCTGCTAACATTTTTTGTAGTATTGAAAGCTAGAGATTTGAACTAATATATGTGCAGTTAAATTCTGAGAATGGATTTTTAAGAGGATCAAATTAAACAATAGTTTGGAATAATTTGCTATTATCTGATTTAGTTTTCAAAAAGCAAAATGAAGAAAATTTCATGTTTCACTTCATTTTTACGACAAATAAAAGATATTTATTGGAATTACCATTGAGAAATATTTCATCCATTCTGGCTTCTTTCTAGCAATAATAAATTGTCAATCTTTTTTTTTCTATCCATCCTACGTCAATTTCAAGCGTAAGTATTTCTCCTATAATTGATCTATTTTTCACGCCTTTCGTGACTGTCATCATATTTCTTCTTTTTTTGAAAATTTGTTTGTATAGTGAACGAAAGTTGTTGATCCATTAGCATTATATTAACATTATACTGTTTTCTCTTCTCTTCCCTCTCTCTCTCTCTCTCTCTCTCTCTTTCTTTCTTTTTCTATGTTTATTCCTTCTTCTTTTAAGTTGTCGGATCAACAAGATAGTGATTGAATTTTTAACTATTTTGTCACGATTTTCTCTTCTAATTCTGTCTAGACTCTTTTTTTTTTTTCCTCGTTTGCATTCTTTCCAAATTTTTTTTTTTTACTTTTCTCTATTTTAGGAACATCAAAATTTCTAAAAAAAAAAAAAAAATATGCCATCATTCTTTACCAGATTTTTCTCTTCTTGGAATTTTTATTTTTTTTTTTTTTTTTGAAATTTTTGATTTTTCTAACTTATTTCCTTCTTGGTCAATTTTTTTTTACCTTCAATATGAAGTAATTCAAAACACTGTTTGATAAATAGAGCGAAGCAAAATGATATGAATATATTAAAATGAAAGTGCCATTCTCGTATTTAACTAAATATGATTATCTAGAAATGCTAGATGGTGAAAATTTGTAAAATTTTACAATCAGATAGTTCCTCAAAGTTTATACCATATCACTAAGAGAATTAGCAAAAATTTTAAACTTCAAAATATTTTACATTAAAATTTTATGAATAAATTTTTCAGAAATTTCTTTTCAGATATATCAATATGATGTTCTGGAGTGTATTTTTGCAGCACCGGTACAATTTCCGGATAACACCAATAGTTCTAACGTATCAATTATCGTAACTCATTCTTCTTCATTATTCTTGTTACAAACCGATACACTTCAATTGCTCTGGTATATACGAATTAATGGAGTAGGATCGTTTCCAAGACCACCAGAAATTCTGAATAATGAAGGATATCTTTTTATTCAAGATTCTTCCGGTGCTTTGCTAGCTATCAAAGGATTGAGAGAGTTAATGAAGAAAAATACTACGGATTTGGAAATTTCCAGGATGAAAATTATTGAAATTTTACGAGTACCTGGTGAAACTTTTAGTGGTGTACAAATTTTGAAAATAAACAAACGAGACAGTAATAAGAGCGATGATAGTAATAGTAGTGGTAGTAGTAATAGTGATAGTAGTAGTAGTAGTAAAATGACAATTGTTTCTTATCGTGCTTTGATTGGAAGTCGTGATGATCGTATACGGTGCTTTCAGTTTTTATTTTAATCGAAGAGAGAGAGAGAGAGAGAGAGAGGGGAGAAAAAAAAAAGCGAGAAAAGCTAAAGAATTTTGAATGATATAAAAGAAGAAAAGAAAGAAAATGGATGATGAAAAGGAAGAAATGGATGAGGAATGAAAGAGAGAGAGAGAGAGAGTAGCATTTTCATTTTTGAAATTTGAACAAATTAAAATAAAGGAGAAAGAAGACGAAAAGGAAGAAATGAAATGAACAAACCTAAGATTATTCTAGAGATAGAAGAAGAAGAAGAAGAAGCTCACAATATGTGAATGAAAATGACGTAAACATTGAATAAATCAAACTAGCAAACTAAATTAAAATCAACAATTGTTTGTTTACTTTTTGAACTTGAAATGAAATAAATTTAAAACTGCTACATTCTTTACTACTCTAAAATATTTTGAAGCAAATAAATATTAGTGCTTAAAGCTGAAAGAAATAAAGGAAGGAAGATAAGAAAGACATTTAGATATATATTTCAAGTAACCAAATGGTCACGATTTCATCTACCGTTAACCGATATGATCCATTTGAGGGAGGACGAGGAGAAGGAGGAAGAGGAGGATTGGCTAATAAATTACTTCTTGTCGTTAATTTTGTCAAAATTTCTGCTTCTCCTTCTCCTCTTCCTCTTTAATCTTTTTATTTCTTCATCTTGCAGTTATTTGGAAACTACTAATATCAGATAATATATTATTAGAAGATAATGAAACTTTGATCGCAACAAAATAAACAAAATACAGGTGAGAGGTAGAAGATAGATAATAAACAAAATGCATTCATTTCCCAAATGTATTTAGTAGTTATTACAGCCGTGATATGAAATCTGGTATTGGTCACTACTACTCTGCTACTACACCTCTAGTAGAAGGGGAGTGGTCCTCAATAAAATCCCGGTCATTTCTATCCTATTTTACCTGAGGGCGGGCATTAATCTCTCTCTTTTTCCTCTGTAACAATTTATGTTATCTTAGTGCAAGACGTAATCATCATCGGTGCTTGCTTTATACCTTCCAGAAATTTCGTACTATCCTTTTTCATGGTAATCTCTTGGATGATACCTGTTAATGATAACATTGACCAATGTGTAAATTACTACTAATTAAATAATTAATCTATTTTCTATTTGCTAAATAAATAATTAAGTGATATTTGTAATATAATATTTGTAGCATTTATTCTATTTTTTTTTTCTTTTTACATATATTCAAGATATAATCAATTTCTATCAATTTCCTTTTTTCTTTTGTGACTTTCATTAAAGAAGGAGAGGAAGAAATTATATTATCCATCTGAAAGCATTTATTAATATTCCTGTTCAAAGCAACCTGTAATTCTCTTCCTGTGATCATCATTAAAAATTATTTCACTAAATTCTGCGCATTCACTTATATATTCCTGAAAATATTTTTCTAAAAATATTCCGTAATTTTCATCAATATACTAATAATATCTATTGCTAACAAAAAAAAAAAAAGAAAAAAAGAAGAGAAATTATTGCTTAATAATGATTAAAATTTAATTGTTATTTTTTCACTGTAATTTATGCTATTATTAATAGAAACAACAACAGAATATATTTGAAATATCTTCTCACTGATATACATAATTTTATTTAAATTATCTGAAATTTCACACTGATTCTAAGAATTCCTAAAGGTAAATAAGATGGAAATCGAAAAACCTGTTTTACAACAATCATCAACAGATCTTTTAAAGAGCTATCATGATCTAAGCTTTAATTCTTCACTTTCACATCATCATCATCATCAGGATATCAGTAAAGCAGAAGCAGTAAAAAAAATTGATTATATAACAGGAAATGATAATGGTGATAGTGTTGATAGTGATAATAGCAATGAAAATAGTAATAATAGAAGTTATCATTTACTGTTAAATGAAGCAAATGACGATGAAGAGAATGATAATGATAATGAATCAAAGTCATCAAATACTATATTTAAACAACATTTTGCTAATTTTGATGTTACATCAAAAGAGGAAGAAGAAGAAGAAGAAGCAACAACAACAGCAACAACAACTGTAGCAAATTTAAATTATCCAGAATTATCATCATTTCAACATCGTTTTTCTACGATACCAATGGAAATTACAAAACGAAATCATGCATTTGTTGCTTGTAAATTAGCTCAAAATTCATCGAATAGTACTAACAATTCAAATTCAATAAATAGTATTCAAGAAGAAATTCCGGAAGTAGAAGTGGAAAATTCACAAAATTTACAAGAGAAATTAAAACATTCGGTATCATCACTCTATTCATCCTCTATTGTTCGACAGCAAAATCGACGATCGGTAACGCTTACAACTTACAACTAATTCTATTATCATTGATTTTTGCAATATTTAAAAGTCATTAATTCATTAATTTTCATTGATAGTAATAATCTTAAAAGATAGAGTATTAATCGTGATAAGAATGATAATAATTTTGATACTCAGGATAGAACATTGTTCGAGAAAAGACCACGAATTGAACGACCACGAGCACGATATCCAAATTCAGCACGACGTACATCTGCGCCTGCATGTTTATGGCCTGCATCATCATTATTTCCTGATCAGGTAATTTATTTGACTGTTATATAATCAAATAAATTCATAGCTTCTCATCTTAAATATATTTTTAAATTATTGTTTAAAATATAAAGCAAATATTAGCTTGTTTTTCTTTCAAAATTTTTATTGTTTAAATATTTTTCTAAGTTAATATTTTTTTTTTTTTTGTTTTCTTTTGTTTCGTAATTTCTTTTAGCTTATTTATTTTCTTTATTAATTTCATTTTTAAACATTATTATAAGCATAAATAGAACTATGATTTTAAAACTTTGATTCTAACATTTATCTATAATTCAATATAAATATAATTTTACAAAATATATATAAATACAAGATATTCACTCGAAGTTTAGCATATATTCCGAACAAATTTTGATCTAAAATTATTGAGAAATTTTTTTAAAGAATATTTTTCTACTCATTTTTTTTTTTTTTTTTTTGTTTTGTTTTTTCTCGAAAAGAATTTGTTAGGAAAAGAAAAAAGCTTAAGAAGATGAAATAGATAAGCTGAATGGTATGATATGATTAATTAGGTATATTTTTCTTCCTGTATGGTATAGTTTTAAATTTCTTTGATAATGTTTTAACAATATTTTAACTCGATTGAACACTGATAAAATTAGTCAAATATGATAGATAAGTGTAAATTTAACTTAAATTCATATATGAGTAGGGAAATAATTTTAGTTTTTCATAGAATTTAAATAAAATTTTAAAAATTTCAAGCAATTTATTAATTATTATTTTTGCAGCAAACAAAATCATCATCATCATCACTGCATGATAATTTAATCTTACTTCAAAAATTATTAGCTAAGCAACGAATTATGCAAGAAAATGTAGCAACATTCAATTTTGATCCTTCTACTAGTATTTCTAATGCTAATAATAATATTGCTACCGCATCTCAATCAAAAATTTCACCTCCGACATTAGCGCCAAATTTTTCAACTGCTCAAACATCAGCACCAACATCATCATCAGTTTTAGCCACATGGCAATTACTCAGAGGTTTGCTTTTTCTTTCTTTTCACTTTTTACCTTTTTTTTTTTTTTTTTTTAATTCCTTCATTTTCAAATAAAAATTTGAACAATACTATTCGATAATAATCATTGTTATCGTTGAGTTATAAAGGAATAATGTATGTGACAGTTAAACATGTGACATTTTCTTCTTCTTTTTTTTTTTCTTGAAATCTTGAAATAGTGTTTAATTTCATTTCAAAACTATTTCATTCTTTTCATTTCTTTGCTGAAAAAAAAAAAACATACATTTATGCAAATATATGATAGCAAAGTACTGAAAAATGAAAATTATTCATTCGCTTCATATTTCTTCAAAATTCTTTCTTTCCTATTAGAAATGAGCAATTATGGAAAGAGGAAGGAAAAGAATGAAAATGGTGGCGTGGGATACATTGAAAAATACAGGTTTTCTCTTTGTGAATCAACAAAAAAAGAAAAAAAAAATAAATAAATAAAAAAACAGAAAGAGGGAATTTTCAAAATTTTAGTTAAGCTGTTTTTAATAATTTTCGTATTAAAATATGTGCATACAGATGTGATGTACTTCGAAATAATTCATCTTTCATTTCATTTTTTTATTTTTTTTTTTATTTTTGCAAAGAGAATGAAATGCAGCCACGACATTCCTTTTCTTCCTTTAGAAGAGGAAGAGAATATAAATTAATAATAATAATAATAATAATATTAATAATGATATTGTTAATAATAATTATAATGATAATATTAATAATTAGTAATAATAATAGTAATTAATGGTAGTAAAGTAATAATAATCCTATTAACAATGATAATAGTAACAATAATAGTAATAACAGTAATAATAATATTTATTATAAATTAAATTGCTATCAGATTTAAATAAGTTAAATTGCTATCAGCCATAAAAATTTTCAAAAAATTATAAAAAAAAAAAAAGATGAAATTGAGAAATTACAAAGCATCCATATTATGATATTGTTTTTTGATTCATAAGTATGAATAAAAGGATATTAATATAAGTAAGTTTAAAATTAACATAAATACATGTATGTATGATATTAGCTAATATTTTAAATAGTTTTATAAAAAAGATATGCTAATTTTAGAGTATTGTAAATATATTTTATTTGAAATTTTTTATTGTTTTTTTTTTTTTTTTTTCCTTTTCAATAAAATATAATCAAAATTTAAAAATTAAGAAGCAAAAATTTTCTTGATTTTTCATTAATCAAAAAGTTAGGATAATTTATGAAGTGTAAGATTAAACTTTTCTCTTCTATTCTTTACTTTAATTTTGATTTTAAAAAATTTTTAAAAAGCTCATATATATTTTATTTGTCATCATCGTTCGTTGACGAATCATTTAAGGAAGCTATGAATTTTGTTTTGTTAAAAAAGAGAGACAAAGAGAGAGAGAGAGAGAGAAGAAAAAAAAAAAAAACCAAAAAATGTTTGGAAGGAAATGGAGGAAAATGCGGTTTTCCGGTTCTTTTTTTTTTGGATAATTGTATTGTTGGATATTTTATCGATACAATCCAAGAAATTACATATTTCTTCCTCAAGTATTTTCTACCATTCTTCTATCTCTTTTTTGTCTCTCTCCCTCTCTCCCTCTCTCTCTTTCTCTCTTTACCTCCTTTCCAGTAAATCCTCTTTCTTTTCTTCAAAGTAATCATCTTTATCTCCTAACCGAACAAATTAAACATCAATAAATTACATTAACATAAAATAATTTTGAAAAATGATTAAAGTAAAAGTAACAATAATAATTTTGAAAAATGATTAAAGTAAAAGTAACAATAATAATTTTGAAAAATGATTAAAGTAAAAGTAACAATAATAATTTTGAAAAATGATTAAAGTGAAAGTAACAATAGTAATTGATTAAAGTAAAAGTAACAATAATAATTTTGAAAAATGATTAAAGTAAAAGTAATAATGGTAAAATAGCAACATTGATTTGTCGATCCTTCTTAATGGTAATGATACTGATTGGTGATAATTTTTGATATCGTTACTTATGATCTTTTCCCTTACTAAATTGTTAGTTCAATTTATAGCAAAATAAAAGGAGGGAGAGGAAAAGGGAGAGAGAGAGAGAGGGAGAGAGAAAGAGAAAGAGAATAGAAGAGATAAAAGAAATGCTTATATTTGAAATACTAAATGTTAAAAAAAAATAAATATTAAACTGATCTTTTGTTGATCTTTGATTTCATTTTTAACAGTATCATTGTTTATTTTAACCAACAAAACTCTTTGCATTAATCTTATCAATGAATCATACAGTCTTAAAAAAAAAAAAAAAAAAGAAAACAAAATGCTTCAATTTCTATATGAAAGACAATTGTTTACTTTTTTTTTTTTTTTAATTTTTTGCTAAGATTAATAAAATTATTACAAATATGTAATTTGTAAATTTATACATCAAAATTGTCAACTCATATTCATATTCTTCGAAATGTTATTTTCTAATATTCCCATATTTTGATTTTTTTTTTTTTCTGAAATTGTTGATAAAAAATTATTTGAAGTAATTTTTCTTTATTATTATATAATCATCAATTATTTAACATATAGCGTTTTTAATTTTTGAAATATCCATCATGTAATTAGGTCAATCTATGAAATTCCTATAAACTACTATAATTTGTTCAAGTTTTTAGAACATAAATTTTGATCATTTTGGTGGGTAATAATTATGGGAAATTAGGGAATATATGAATGAAACAACGACATTTGTTGCTATCTTCTTATCATAGTTGTATGAATTGTAAACAGACAGGTACAACAAGGAGCAAAGCCTATCTAAATATTTTAACATTGACCGATTGACCTTGTTTTTCCATTTATCTTTAGGATAGGAATGCATGTGACAAACTTTTCAATGTCTTATTTTCTTTTTGTCGCGTAAAATCTAAAATGTATGAGGATGACTTCTCCAGACGTGGCACTGAACTTTTTCGGAACAAAATTTGTTGATAGTCGGATCAGGATGATGTTAATATGATCATATATATTAAAATGAACTAACTGGGTGAAGAATGATGATGACCATGAAAATGGATGAAAAGGGAAGAAATAAATATTATTAAAATTATTATAATTTAATTATTTATTGTTTAATTAATTCATAAATACTAATTATTTTTGAAAAAATAAATTATAAACAAGTAAATTCTTTCGTGTTTTTTTTTTTTTTTTTTTTTAGGATTATTATGTGAAGAAGAAAAGATATAATTAAAATAAGTTTTTTTTTTTTTTTTTGTTTGTGTTTTTTTATTTTTTCACTTATTTTATTTTAAAGTTAAACAAAATTAATGTTTAGCAAAAATTTTTATCATTACTCTACAAAAGGATATATTATTTCTTTTTAAGTTTTTTTTTTTTTTTTTTAAAAGAAATGTTTTTATTACATTAGCTAAAAATGAAATCAATTTAATGATTTATTTGTAAAATTAAAAAATTATGATGAAAATAGATGATCAATTGATTGTTTTTCGATATAAAAAAAAATTTTTTTTTTGAAAGAAGAAACACTTTTTTCCGCGATTTTACTTAAAATATTTGAAATTATTAACAAATGATTGTTTAAAATATTTATAGAAGTTTTTTTTTTTTTTTAATTCTAAAATTTTTTTAACATTTTTAATTAAGCATAAATCCTGCGGCATCGTTTCATTAAGTTTGAATTTATTTTGTGAATTCAATTCAATAATTTTTAGCTTTTTCTGAGCTATTTGCGCCAAAAACTTTCTGAGAATTATAATGTTATAGTTAATTTCGTTTTTTTTTTTTTTTCACTTCAAAATAGTCCATTAAGTTTAATTTATGAAGACTAGAAATCATTTATTATTTTGAAATTTAAATATGAAAACGTAAAAATTATGCAACTATATAAAATAATTTCTTTTTCTGCTAATTTCAAATTTTACTCGTTTAATTTAAAATTAATTCCAACAAATATATTTCTTAATTTCAATCTTTTTTACTACAATATACTTTTCATTTTATTATTATTTATTATTATTATTATTTCGGACAAATTTAGAGAAAATAAGAAAAAAAATGAGAAGATTTTCTAGGATACTTAAGTTCTTAAGAATATATTGTTTACTTTAAGCAAGAAAAAAATAATAATAAATAAATAAATAAATATCATACTGTTCAATTAATGAAGCGTATGAAATAATGACGTATTTTAATACTTCTCTTTCTAATTTTTTCAATCTTTTATTTAATTTTATCTCATTTATTCCGTTACAATAACAATAATAATAATAATAATGAAACGAATAGTTATTGATGTTTCCTCTTATTATTCTAATTTGACGATTTTTTATTTTTATCAAATTCTTTTAATATATTTTTTTAAAAAAAAAAAAAAAAATTCATGCATGCATGTATGCATTTTCCGGAATATAATATTAATAATAGTACAATTATTATTTTCATTTTCATTTTCACGGATTTTCTCCGTCATTCATCTTTGTCATCTTTCTTCATTTACCTCATTTCATTCATTCATTCAACAACATTCCATCCGCAATTTATTCATTTAATTTATTCCATCAAATTTCCTCAAAAAATCAAAATGAAAGAAAAAAAAAAAAAAAAACTTCTCAACAACCATCATCATCATCATCATCATTATTATTATTATTATCGTTATTATTATTATTATTATTATTATTATTATTATTATTATTATTATTATCATTTTCACATTTTTAAATTGATAAAATTGTTTCTCATTTGATTGTTGCTTCTGTTCCGGGTTTTTCGTTAAATTTACTTCAACTTTATGCCGTACAGACTGGTACATACATACATACACACATACATACATACATACATACATACACACACACACATACATACATACATACATACATGCATACACATACACACATGCATACATACATACATACATGCACATATGAATAAATATGCAAAGGAGAAAAAAAAGTAAATAAAAAAACTCATACATTACACATGAATTGTTAGATAAACTGTAAAATAATTCTGAATCCGATATAAATGATTATTCTATTGAAAGTTGGAAATTGAAAAAAAAAAAAAGAAAAAGAAAAGAAAAAAAAAAAGCGGATTTAAATTTAATCACTTCTTCGTCAAATATTTAATTTTGAATTTCAACACTCAGATAATTATCATCAAATTATAAAATTTGATGATAGCAAATTATCATATGCAATTGTTTAAAATTTATTTACAAAATGTAAAACAATTAAATTTAATCAAAATTTCACATTTAACATAACAAATGTAACATTTCAATGCAAATGTTAATTCATCAAATATTATACCTTAATTTCGATAATGCTTAATTCTTATTGCAACAAAAAATTATTTTAAATGAGAATTTTATTTTATGAAAAATTCTCTGAATTTAATAATTTAATATCATTGATAATTTCAATCAAAAATTATGTTTGCTGATATTGTTGAAAAAAGAAAATAACTTGAAGTGCAATGTTGAAATTTTCAAAAAGTTTTTTTTTTTTCCATCAATTTATTTGCAACAAGTTAATCAACTTCAAAGAAAAAGAAAAAAAAAAAGGAAAAGGAATTGTTGTCATTAATTAGACAATTAGCCGATATTTTTATAAAATTCGATGAAATTTCTTTTTCTTTTTTTGAACTAATTTATTTATTTATTTACTTTTTTTTTTTATCCTTAAAGTACCAACATTATAAGAGAAAATTCTTCAAAAAGAAAATTAGAAAGTGAATAAGGAAGATTTATTTCTAATTTATGAATATTGAGAGTTTTTCTTTTTTCTGAATATTGCTCTACTTTCAAAATGAGCGATGGCGGAAATTATAGTTTAATTCTGATGGGTTCTAGTTTTCTTTTTTTTTTTTATTTATCATTGTTAAAATTGTTATTTCCTGTTTTTACAAATGCAAGAAAAAATTTCTTTCAAAAAATATTTTAAAAAAGAAACGAGAAAGTTTGATAGTATTACATCTAACATCAAATTATTTGATCATTTCTTGATTGATGAATGCAAAAATAAGGAGCTAAAAAGATTAAGATTTAAAATTGAATTTAAAATATTTTTATTTATTTTGAAATTGAACTGATACAATTAGATACGTGAATTAATTATCACGTAAATTAATTATAGTAATAAATAATTCATTCATCTTTCGTAATTTTGCACTCTCAAGCAATTAACAATGTTTTTTTTTTTTTTTGATTTTATGTTGACAAGGAGATGACAATTAAGTGTATTAAGGATATGGAACACGCTAAATGCAAAAAAAAAAAATTTAAATTAAATGTTTGTTTCATTTTACTCCTTCTATCCACCATTCATTTCATATTTTCCATTCATTTTAACAATCTATGAAAACTTACAAATATAAGTGATAGATGAATAAATGTAATTGAAACTTTTTTTTTTAAATATTTAATTTGAATTATCTTATATCAAAATTTAAATTTAACTAACATTTCCATTTGATTATAATTTCCTTTTTTTTTTTTTTTCTATACTAAAACTTTTAAAGTTCAAATAGCAAAAAAAAAAAAATTTTGCAGATGCTCGAATTTTATCACCTTGGTTATCAACAGCATTTTTTTATCATCCAACAACAACAGCAACAGCTATAGCGACTACAAATTGGCCTCGCAATAATTTCACTTCATCTAATTTTACTGATTGTATAAAAGATGGATCAACTCTTGATGCAGCGACATTAGCGCCTCAACCATCAACACATATTTATCATTCAACATTGCAAGATGTTCTATGTACTAATTTACATGGTACAACTTCACCATATTCTGGTATCTTTTTGATAAGTAAATTTTTTTATTTTGCTAAAAAAAATTTTTCTCATCACATTTTGATTTAATTATGTTTATTATAATTCTTTTTTGCTCTATCACTCAGATATTACTTATTTTTCTATGGAAAAAAAAAAGTAATTTAACTCACACTATTGAAATGAACTATTTGTTTAAAAAAGTATTTCAAAAAATCGCCAAAATGTTTTGAAAAAAGTTCATTGCATTATTTATGTTTAGTTTCACCCACAACTAATTTAACAATTCCCAATTCACTCTTCTGTTCACCATATTCATCACAATCAGCGCGAATGTTTATGAGTCGTCGATATAGTGAGCCAACATCATTAATGCCTCATCATTCAGGTACTGGAAGGCGCAAAAGTCGTGAAGGTCAATACTTTTTCATTTCTTAAACTTTCACATTTTTAATATTTTTCAATCACAAAATATTTCATCTATTGCTACTAATATAAGATAACTTTTTACACTTTGAAATATTGCACCAAATGAATTCATTCTATCTATTAAAATGGCGCAAATATGATAGTTTGGATAAAATAAAATAAAAAAAAAAAATTAATTAAGAAAGTTTAAAAATTTTTTGTAAAAATTGAAATTTTTAGGACAAGTAAATTATTTATGGGAATTTTTGTTGCATTTATTGCAAAATAAGGAATATTCACCGAAATACATCAAATGGTTGGATCATAGCAAAGGAATTTTTAAATTGGTCGATTCAAAAGCTGTCTCACGTCTCTGGGGTTTACATAAGAATAAACCGGGAATGAATTATGAAACAATGGGACGTGCTCTTAGGTATTAATTTAATCTTTTTCTAATTATATATATATATATATATATCGATTACAAATGTGAATTTAATTTTAGTTTCTAAAATTTCACAGGGAATCTTATTAATAATTTTAATTTGTTTTAAAAAATTGAAATGAAAAATATTGAAGCATTACTTTGTAAATTTTTACACTCATTCTTATGTTTAACTTATCAGAGTGCTAAAATTGATTGAATAAAGTTATTAGTAGTTTGATAACTTCCGTACGTTACACTGATAAATATTTAGTTTGATAAATTTTAGGATAGTTTCAATGTTTGTGAAAAAAAAAAAAAAAAAAACTTTAAAGTTTTTTTTTTTTCTTAGTTATTAATAATTTTGGTGATATTTGATTTGTTTTTCATCTATCATATGGTGATTATGAATAAAATTCACTCTTTTTTTTTTTGCTAAATTTTGATTTTTGGATAGCTTTGATATTTTTGAAAAAATTTTTTTATTCAAAATTTCATTTTGTTTATGTTTTTATTTTCATTTAAATATTACTATGAGTTCTGTTGAATCTAATTCTAGAATAATTCCAAAATAATATCCCAGAATATTTCAGAATAATATTTTTTTTATTTGCTTTTATTCTATAATTTTTACTATATCAATTTTTTTTTTTATAGCAACAATTAAAATTGATGAAATCTTATAATAATTGAAATTGAAATTTTTTGAAATGATAATTGGAATTGAAAGATATCAATTGGATAGGAAATGTAAAACATAATATTTTTAAAGATATTACTACCAGCGTGGAATATTGCAAAAGGTAGATGGCCAACGACTTGTTTATCAATTTATGGATATACCTAAAGAGGTATATTTATCATTTTTATTTTATTTTTTTGTAAATACTGATTAAATTAAGTCTTATTTTGCTTCCTAAAATAAAATGATAAAGAAATGAAGAATTCATTTATTTATTTTAAAAGATATATTTAAAAAAGTTTTTCTTTTTTTTTTGTTCTTTTTGCCTCATGATATTTAAAATTGAATGATATATCTTACTTTCAAACTGTACTATTCATTTAATTTTCTTATTTATAGTAAAATTAATTATTTGATTATTAAATTTAAATGATTATTGATTAGTCAAGTGTCCATTTTTTTTTTTTTTTGAAATTATTGTTTATTTTTTGGATATATTTGAGGAATTTTACGATGATCAACAACATATCACTGGCAATGGCAATGATCATTGTAGCGGTAATAGGAGACAATTGAAAAGAGAAAACAATTGTTTAAATTTTAATGAGGAAAGTGATGTCACCAAGATGTCGCATGAATAAATAATATTGCCTCAAATTTAATTTGTATTATAGCTGATCAATAGCAATAATTTTTCTCAATTTTTTTTTTTTTTTTTTTTAATGAATTCCTTTTTTTCAGGCTTTTTTCAGACTTTAATTTATTCATTTATTAGTTATAATGGAATTTATTTTGTAAATGCTATTGCTTGAAGCTCAAATGTGAATTGTTACACTTAACAATTTATTAAATTCATGCTAAAATTATATCTCTCAAATTATTCAACAAATATATTTTGCAATATTTGTTCAGCTGAACAATTCATTCTTTGATGTTCTTTAAATTTAATTACATATGACCTTTCAATGACCTTTTTGTTATGAATATTGATTGATAGTTGTGCAGTGCAAAGATCAGATCAGATTTCAAAATATTCTCATCATTTGTTATCATGATTATTTCTGAGTGCTAAATCATTAGTATCATGATTATTTCTGAGTGCTAAATCACTAGTATCATGATTATTTCTGAGTGCTAAATCATTAGTATCATGATTATTTCTGAGTGCTAAATCACTAGTATCATGATTATTTCTGAGTGCTAAATCACTGGTATCATGATTATTTCTGAGTGCTAAATTAAAATTAATTATTTCAAATTAAATATAGCAAAAATTATAATTCCTAATTTTAATTTTTCATTTAACTTGAATAGATGGGTCTTTTATAGTATTACTTTCATTTTTTTTTTCACACCAATGAGAGGGAAATACGTTTTTAACCTTGTTAATCAATTTATTTAATGATTGTTTCGTTAATTTTTTATTTTAAAAAATAATTTTAAAATTATAATTTGTGATCAATGAATGTACTGTGATCATTTATTTCATTCAATTCTTTTTCTTTTTTTTTTTGTTTTTGTTTACAAATTTTCTTAATGCAAATAAGAAAATAACTGACTGATTAAAGAAAGAATGAAATTTTTTTTTTTAGTTTCAGCAACAACTTATCTCTTGAATCGATCAATCTTTATGATTTGAGAGAAGAAAAACAAAATTTTCAAGATGTTTGTTTCATTTATTCAATAAATGAAATCATAATTTAAAAAAAAAAAAAGATATGATAAGATAAGAGATGAAAGATTAATCTTAACCTGTTCTTATCAATTCATTATCAGCATTTAAAGATGTTCTATTGTTGCACAATCTCTTCCTCAAATAATTTCTACTTTATACTTTAATTATTTTTCGGTCGTTAAAAGGCCTTTTTTACTTTTTTTTTTTTTTTAAAAAAGGCCTTTCTCGATCAAAACAATAACTAAGGCTTTTCTATTAATCATTCAACGATTTGTTTTATATCAGAAAGCTAAAAAAAAAAATCTTTCTTCTAAAACTATATTTTATTTCATTTAAAGTGCTATTTTATAATTTCATGAAATGATTTGATAAATTTTCTCCATAAAATAATTTAGTTTTTTTTTGAAAAAGTTTAAATTGATTTACATGTTTCTTTTTTCTTTTAAAAAAACAAAAAAAAAAAAAAAAAAAAAAACAATTTTCATTTTCAATATTTCATAAATAAAATATTACAATATTACTTGTAAAGTAATATTTATTTATAATTGTTTGCATTAGTTATTTTAGATTGCTCAACTTTAATTTCTTTCATATTTGCCAGAAAATGCCTTTGTATCACATAGTTTTGCTATGGGCAAATTTACCCATGGGCAAATTTACCCATGGGCAAATTTGTTTGTAATTAAATTTTGCTCTATTTAATCTGTAAAAGAATTTTGCTATCCAATTTTATCGATTTTCCATCAATGTAAATTGTAGAATTATTGTAAGAGAAAGAAAAATACGTTTTCCGGATGTTTCTGCAACTCATCATTCTTCTATAAGACCGGATTAAGAATTATTTTAATTTATAAGAAAAATATTTTACTTATTGGATTAATTTACTAAGAAAATATGCTTATTTTAATTTTTATTTAATTGTACTATATATTAAATAATTCTTAAACATGAATGAATTTCAAGTAAGATTTCACTATGTGATAAAAATTTTTTTTTCAATATTTTAAATTTATTAATGAAATTAGCAAATCAAAATTTTTACAAATACAAAATAAATAGTTTTTGTTATCTTTTTTATCAAATCATTTTATCAAATGTTTATTTCAAATGTTTATTGAATAAAAATGTTTCAATAATGTTTTCTCTAACAAAATTTTTTGTAAACAAAAAATGTTTGATCGATTCTGTTCCATTCATTTAGTCTTCAAAATTAATTCACTATTACATTCCATTTAATTAGTAATTTATAATTTTATAGTAATTTGTCTTTTTTTTTTTTTAAAACGGATGAGATTAAGTATTAGAAATTTTTACCATCTTTCTTCTATCTAAATTATTGCCCCGTAAAATACCCGTAAAATATTCAATACACATAAAATACCCGTAAAAAATTTCAATCATTTCTAACTTTAATTTATAATTTATCTTTAAGAATCATTTTAAAACTAATTTAAATTAATGTAAAAAGCATTTCCTATAATTTAATGTATTTAAAATTTGTTCTGTAATAATATCATTGCATTTTTTTTTTTCATTTATTTAAACAAAATGCTAATATTATCAATTAATTAATCAATCAATCAATCAATCAATCAATCGACTAATCAATTAATCAATAATAATTGAAATAATACAGCAATTTATTATTAAATAACATGATGGGAAAAAAATTTTTTTTTTTGAATCAAACAAGAAAGAAAGAAAGAGTAAAAGAAAAAAAGAAAAAGAAAAAACTAAAACAATTGTATACGATGATTTTCACGATCGGAAACAACAATTGTGGTATCAATGAGTGCAACCGCTTCGACACCTTTCAGTTGTCCAGGTGCATTACCCCAGGTACCAAAACTATGCATATAACGACCATTTGGATAGAAAATTTGCACACGATTGTTACCACTATCAGCTACAATGATGAAACCCTGAAAATTTATTATAAAATAAATTAATTTATATCATTCGTGAAATATAAGTTTAATTTCTCATAATGTATTTATATTTAAATTTGAAAATGTAGAAATTATAAAAGGATAACGATGAAGTTTATATTAGTTTGATAAATAATTTGAATGTATCAATTCTTTTGCTAAAATAATATTAATAAAAAAAAAGAAAGGCATAAAAGAAAAAAAAAATAGTTTTTTTTTTTTTAAATCTTATCAACATTACTCTTGAAATGATTTCAATCATTTTATTGTGGTAAATTAGATAAATAAAGCAAAGTTAAATTTAAAAATGTAAAATGATAAAGATTAAAATATTCCCTTTCATAACTTTTCAAGCATGCCAATATGTTCTGTTTTTTTTTTTTTTTTTTTTTTTTTGGAAAAAAAAAGTGAGGATTAAAATAAAATTATGATGTTGAGGAATGAAGGAGGTTTCCGAAATATGAAATGGTAAAAGAGAGAGAGAGGGAGAGAGAGAGGTGTTCTGGGTATAAAACCTGATCATCAACAGCGATTCCACGTGGGAATTTCATTTGGCCGTTTTGAAATCCTTCGGAACCAAATTGAAAAATTGGATTGCCATTGTGATCAAAGATGCAAACTCGATGATTCGAACTGTCTGTTACATAAATATTATGTGTTCGTTTATTAACAGCAATAAATTGTGGATGATGGAATTGGCTAATTCCTGGGCCCATTGTACCAAATTTGCCAGCAAATTGTCCTTTGCTATCGAACATTTGGACACGATGATTGTCCTGAATTGCTTTTTTTCCTCGTCAATTTGCACTTTGTTGTTGTTACCAATTTAAATTTGAAATTCTTCTTTCAAATTTACAATCATTTTTCTTTCTTTTTACCGCTTCTAGCAATTTTAAGATGTCTATTCTAGACTTTATATTATGTCCTAAAAAAAAAAAAAAAAAAAAAAAAAAAAAACCTCACTCAATTCTTTTCATTTTAAAATAAAACTATTAAGAATTACTTCCTAGCATAAGTACTAGTAAATAACTTAGCCTAATACTTAAATTATAATTTTATGATTCGCAGGATCGTCCATTTTAGTGCAGCACATCATTAGTTTGTTGTTATGTTGATGGAAATGATGATTACTTCCTTTTCTTTCATCGATAAAAGCTTCCGACATAACTTCTTGGCATTAAAAAATAAAAACCTGGCTTTTATCAATCCGATTTTCACAGAATAGCCAGATGCATTTACTTATTTCAGCCAAAAATAAATTTGCGCTTAGCGCTTTTATGCACTTTGCACAAATACATTTTTGATCCTAAACTGAGTGCAATTTTCAAAACGTAATAGTGATTAAATTATACTAACACTGAATAAAGGTCTACATTTAAAGCGCAAATGTAGTAAAATTAGAAGCAGTTAAAAAACTGTATATATCCATTAATATTAGTAAGTAATATTGTCTGCATCCGATTCGGACGATCCTGGAAATTCTTTGAAATGATAAAATTTATCATTGATTTATTCGTTAGGTACTATCTACGTACCTTATCCACAACGTAGATCATTCCCATATCATCCACAGCTACACCCCATGGATTGTTGAAACGACCATTAGATGGACCATGTCCACCAAATTTTCTCACACAATGTCCATCTTGATCAAAAATCATAATTCGATGATTATAACGATCGGAAACAATTAAATGCTTGTAACGACTATAGCATATACCAGCAGCACTATCTAATTGTGCATCACCTGTGCCATATTTTCCAAACATTTTTAACAAACGTCCACCCGTATTAAATATGCAAACACGATGATTGCTACTATCACAGACAGCAAATTCATTACCGCCTAAAATAGCAAGACCACGTGGCCAATTAAGTTCACCTTCTTTGGAACCTTTTTTACCAAATACCAATTTTGGTTTGCCTTTTGCCAAATAATCAACAGTACAGATGAAACGTGGTGCATGTAATAGACGACAATCATATATGCTTTCAGCATCTAAAGCAATACTTGATCGTTTACGTAAACGTAAACGAC